GTGGTTATGTAATTTTATATTTTTAATAATATGTTTTCTGTTTGTTACAGATACATAGAAATTATATTGATTTTTAAAAATATTGACCTTGTATTCAGCCATATTATTATTTTAACAATAATCTCTGAGTCTTAGAGGCTTTCTGTGTGGACAAACATATCAACTAAGAAAAATCTATATGATTTTTCTTCCTTCCCAGTGCTCATTCTTTGTATTCCTTTTTTTAAAAAAAATTTCACTAACTAGATCTTAGACCATTTTGAATAGAAATAGTGATAAAGGGCATCTTGCTCCTAATTTTAAAGAAATTCCCTCTGTGGTATACCATAATCATGACACTTGTGGTTATATTTTGGCAGGTATCTTTTCATTAGATTAAGAAGTTTTTCGCCTGTAATCCCAGCACTTTGGGAGGCCGAGGAGGGCGGATCACCTGAGGTCAGGAGTTCGAGACCAGCCTAACCAATATGGTGAAATCCCATCTTAAAAAAAAAAAAAAAAGAAGTTTTTATCTATTTCTAGTTTATTAGGAGTTTTTATCATGAATGGATGACGGATTTTTATCAAATGCTTTACTGTATCTATTAAGCTAATTTAATTTATTTTCTGTTTTAATCCATTAAAGTGGTGAATGACTTGATCATAATAGCTTATCCTTTTTTTGGCTACATTTGATTTGGTAATTTTTAAAAGAATTTTGGACTATATTTTATTTAGTGAGATTGGAATATACTTTTACTTTCCCACTCTCTTCTTGCCTGGTTTTGGTAGAAAGATTATGCTAGCCTCACATAATGAGTCAGAAAACATTCATTTTATTTCTGTTATCTGAACTAGATTTGTTAATATTGTAATTTTCTAGTCCTTAAAGTTTCTAAAATTTCTGTAAAAATCTGTAAAATGGTTTTGAATATTTTCTTTGTGGCAATATTTTTTAACCATTTGATTCAATTTTTTGAAAGGCATCAGGATCCTTCCGTTTTGTTGTTTTTGTCAAGTTCATTTCAATTTAAGTTATATCTTCCGGAGATTGTGTTCATTTCATCAAAGTTTTCGAATTAATTGGCATAAGAATGCTAATAAAGCCATCATTGCTACCTTTTTGGACTTATTTATTTTTAATACTATTTACTTTTGTCTCTTCTTCTTTTACCTTAACCCATTCTGTGAGGAGTTTTTCATATTATTAGTTTTTTAAGAAGAAACATTTAAGATGTGTTAATCCTCCTTATTGTATCTTTGCTTTCTGGTTCATTCATTTTTGCACTCATATTGACTGATTCCTTTCTTCTGCCTTTTTTCTGGGCTAACTCTTTTTTAAAGTTCTCAAACTGGTTGTTTATCTCATTCCTTTTTCAGTTCTTCTTTTCTAAGTATTTACATACACATTTCCTTTTAAATGCTACCTGGCTTGCATTCTACAAAATCGGATGTGCAGCATTTTCATTATTAAGTTCCAGCTATTTTTAACTTTCACTATAATTTTTTCTTTGATCTATGAGTTACTTAGAAATGTTTTTTTTGTTTTGTTTT